TTTCATTGGTCAGAACATTTGAGCATAGGAGTTGGGATGTCATGCTGCAGCTGTGCGGAACGTTGATGAGGCCAGTTTTGGAACACTGCATGCAATTCTGGTCACCCTTCTATAGGAATGATATTGTTAAACTTGAGAGGGTTCAGAAAAGATTTACATGGATGCTGCCAGGACTGGAAGGTTTCAGTTATCGGGAGAGGCTGAATAGGCTGAGACTTTTATCCCCAGAGCAAAGATCTTAGAGACATCTATAAAATGAGGGGCATTGATAGGTTGAATAGCCAAGGCCTTTTTTCTAGGCTAGGGGATTCCAAAACTAGAGGGAAAGGTTTAAGAAAGATTTAAAAAATGACTGGAGGGGTAACATTTTCACGCAGAGGATGGCGTGTGTATGGAACAAGCTGCCAGAGGAATTTGTGGAAACGGGTACAATTACAACATTTAAAAGGCATCTGGATGGGTACACGAATTGGAAGGGTTTAAGAGGCATATGGGCCAAATGTTGGCAAATGGGAGTACTTCAGATTGGGATGTCTGGTCGGTGCAGATGAGTTGAACCGAAGGGTCTTTTTCCATGCTGTATAATGACACTATTACCAGAAGTTAAGGTAAAGTTGCCATTGTCCGAGAGGACCATAAAACTGCTCTTTCATTAGAACCCGAGAGATGGCTGGTGAGGAGTTTAACCTGAGGGTCACCATGCCTCATGAGGGGCCAAGGTTGAGAAGGCAAGATTTTCCCGGTAACCTCAGCCAGTGCAGAAATGGAACCTGCACTGTTGGCATCACTCTACATCATAAAACAGCTGTGCAGCCAACTGAACTAAAAAAGCATATGCAATTAAATACCATTGAAAGGGGCAGGGAATAAGTCGAGATTGGAATCTATCATTGATGTTTATTTTGCGAGTTCAAGAAGTGATTCATGTCAGAAGAATAATGATTCTCAATTAGGCAACAAGTTATTCACTGGGCTACAGTCCCAATTAGGCCACAAAAAGTTTATTGCCAAACAAATCTTGAATGCTGGACATCACTGCAACTTTGAGATTAGGAGATTCGCTCTCATGCAATAGATCTGATGCTAGTCTAACATTAGTGTCACGATGGAGAGCCCTGAGGCACAAGATACTTAATACTTAGCAGACAACCAAATCCCCAAGTCAACATCCTGTTGCCCGGCAACAAATAAAAGCATGTCAAATAGCAGTTTGGCCTAGCAGAGTAACTTACAGTAGGTCTGTTTAAAGAAGTGGTGAGAGATGACTACAATTCTGTGCAACATTGTTGAATTTAGGGGCAGTAGGCAAGCTTTACTACCTGTAACAGCAATGTGAAGTAGGCACAGTCTGGCCATTGTTTGAAGGATTCACATACTGTACTGTGCATGTGGACATGGAGGCTACCAAAATCATGGCTGATCAGATTACCACTCCCTTATCAACTACATCCCTCAGTCACATCTGCAGGGGCCCCATTTGCAGGAAGACAGACAGTCTCCTTTGTGCATTCAAAATAAAATGGTGCTCTTTTAGCACTTAATTAAACTCTGCTAAAGTCTGAATGGCAGATTGTAATCACCTGCACTTTACATCGGGACCGAAGGATTGGAAAATGAGACAGCAAAGTATGAGCTTGCTTGCTGGCTGGGATTGCATTTCTTTTGCTACATCCTCTAAACTAAAGAGGTTTGCCAGCAGCTACTTAGAGATTCAAAATATTTCCCGTGCTTCAACTTGACTAACTGTGACAGACAGAATTCCAGACAACAGGCCGTCAACATTGCTGACACTGCCATACTAATTCATAAAAAACCTCTAAGCAGCTTTCGGTTTGGAAGCCTGGTTGATTCCAGACATTTTTCCGGAGGAAAGAAAGAAAAGTGAAGGTAGCGGGAGAGATTTTTCTTACTTTTAATTTTCCAAACAATACTGAAAAAGATGTGGACACATATGATAGCTGTAAGATTAAGCCAGTCACAATTTCCTAACTTCAGAAATCATTGTAATTGCACCCCTTGCAAGAAATCAGTTCAAACACGTTCTAAATTCAAAAGCAAGACAGGAGAGAAAAGGCTTGGGGCCACATAACAGCAGCTGAACACAAAATCGCCACATCACACTTCCAGATGGAAGCTGTGAGCTCCCAGCCACACAAAGCAAAACAGACTCACAGAAGGAATTGTTCCTAGGACACATCATTTGGTATACAACTACACTTTATTTCCCATCTACTATTACAATAGCTTTTATGATATAAGCAAGTCTCTTTCTCTCTTTCACTCCTCCCCTCAACATCATCGCATCATTTCAAATCATAAGTTAGTACTTCCCTTTCACGCTGGGGAAGGAAGAGGTTTGGAAATGGTAGATAACAAGGTGTAGAGCTGGATGAACACAGCAGGTTAAGCAGCATCAGAGGAGCAGGAAAGCTGACGTTTCGGGCCTAGACCCTTCTTCAGAAATGGGGGAGGGGGAAGGGATTCTGAAATAAATAGGGAGAGAGGGGGAGGCGGATAGCAGATGGATAGAGGAGAAGATAGGTGGAGAGGAGACAGACAGGTCAAAGAGGCGGGGGTGGAGCCAGTAAAGGTGAGTGTAGGTGGGGAGTTAGGGAGGGGATAGGTCCAGGGAGGACGGACAGGTCAAGGGGGCTGGATGAGGCAAGTAGGTAGGAGATGGGGGTGGGGCTTGAGGTGGGAGGAAGGACAGGTTAGGGAGGCAGGGACAAGCTGGGCTGGTTTTGGGATGCGGTCGGTGAGGGGAGATTTTGAAGTTTGTGAAGTCCACATTGATACCACTGGGCAGCAGGGTTCCCAAGCGGAACAGGAGGTGCTGTTCCTGCAACCTTTGGGTGGCATCGTTGTGGCACTGCAGGATGCCCAGGATGGACATGTCGTCTGAGGAATGGGAGGGGGAGTTGAAATGGTTCGTGACTGGGAGGTGCAGTTGTTTAGTGCGAACCGAGCGTAAATAGTAGTTTGTTTTAGCATCAGTCGTGAAGTCTTACAGCACCTTCCTTCCCTTCTGCAAACCTTTCTCGCACAAGTTAACTACAACATCAGCTCGAGCCAACTGTTAAGCCAACTCGAGTGTTGAGCTGTAATATTACCCATGGTCATACACTGATTGTAAAGAAGAGATTTGCAAAGGTGTGTGAAGAACCAGGATTTCAAGGTGTAAATATTCATGAAGACTGGTAGGAGAGTTTTACAACTACTGCCATGAATCTCAATGTAATTGTGTTTATTTGGCCCATTTTGTCAACATTGGACTTTAGTTTACACCTTTATTACTACAATAAACTCTATTCTCTAAAGTTTTCATCTTCCAAGGTAATGGATACCCGAAAAGCACAATTCGCCATTACCTCTGAGACTGACCACAACAGGAAGACACAACACGACCAGATTCACTAATCACCCTGTCGTACATCAAGGACATATCAGAGATAATCACAACACTACTCAGATCCCTAGGTATTAGAGTAGTCCACAAACCGACAACCACCTACGACAGCTACTGACGAACGTAAAGAATCCCATACCCAAAACCAGCAAAACTGAGCTAATATACAAAATACCATGCAAGGACCGGGAGAAACATTACATAGGCCAAAATTGACAATATGGATACATGGACACCAATTAGCCACCAAGAGACACAACCGATTCTCACTTGTCTCACTGCACACGGACAATGAGGGACACTAATTCAACTGGATCAACACATCCATAATCGCACAAGCCAAACACAGACACGACAGGGAATTCCTGGAGGCCCGGTATTCCAACCGGAACTCCACATTGAATTAGACCCTGTGTACAAACCATTGAGAAACAGAGCCAGAAGTAATACCAACCACCCCAGCAACCGAGGCGAATAAATAACAAGCGGGACAGAACACCGACACTTCACCGGAGGCGCACTGACGATGTTACCATGGAGGGTGATGAAACGTTTGCAACCAAACCCACTGGCTTGGCGAACAAGTCTACAACCTCAGTCTGTACACTGTCATACCGCTCCCATCAATAACACTGCTGGGCATTAGCTACTGTTTGGAGGGTGATTGGATGAAGTACTCAAACATGCAATAATGGCTCTTAGTGAAAGATTAACGGTGTCATTACACTCAAGCTTCAGAAGACCTTTCAGTGCAGAACAGAGATCCTACAGTAGAAGTGGTGGCATAGTGGTAATGTCACTGGACTAGCAACCCAGTGGCCCAGGCCAATAGTCTAGGAACACGTGTTCGAATCTCACCACGGCAGATAGTGAGATTAAAATTCAATAAAATCCAGAATAAGGAAAAGCTGGTCGTAAAACTATCATACAAGGCCATCTGGTTCATTTTAAGAGAAGGAAATCTGCCATCCTTACCTGGTCTGGCCCACATGTGACTCCAGACCCACAGTGAACCATGCGGGAGAATGTGAGATAATGGCTGGCAAACTCAGGACTGGCTCATAGAAACACACAAAATGGGAGCAGGAGTAGCCCATTCGGCCCTTTGAGCCTGCTCCACCATTCACATCATGGCTGACCATTCAACTCTGTATCCTGTTCCGGCTTTCTTCCCATACCCTTTTGATCCCTTTAGGCCCAAGAACAGTGTCTGAATCTTTTCGAAAAGATGTTAATGTTTCAATGATTCAACCGCTCAACTGTCGTGGTCTTTGCTCAACTGTCGTGGTCTTTGTGGTTAAACTGCAAGATGTTGATAAAGTCTAGATTTTCTCAATAAAATAACACCAAGGTTATGTAAAGGCCTTAACGACAGTTGTTAAAACTATACTAATGGGAACATCTGGACTATACAGTTTACCCTCAGTCAGGAAACCCACATAGCGCAAGGCTAGCTACAAACCCACATGGAACTGAAAATCTAGAAGCATTAGCGTCTGCAGCAGAGGGGAGGTGGTTAAAACATATATCAGAAGTAAAAGTAAACTATGAAACAAATAGGCATAAGGAACATACATTGCACAACCGTACTTACCCAAAACCATAGTCATGTATTTTTCTTGTACCCCGGCTTCCAGAAGCAGTGGGGGTACAAAGGTGATTCCAGCTGCCACACAAATCTCCAAGCCACACGTCAGTGAATTCAGTAACAACAACTGGGACCTTCGTTTATGGAAAAACATATTGGACTGGGGCTTCTCCATCACGACAATACCACCTCTAGTTCTGTGCTCTGTCTCTGACCACGTCCAGAATTTTCACGCCCCACTTGACAAATGTTCGGCAGCTTTCACAGTTTCTAGCACCACAAATATGAAGAGTTCTCCTCAACATTGCGCTAATGTGAAACTGCTCCATGTTCAAGCGCTGAGCATCCAGAACTGTTCATCGCCAAGCAGCTCACACAAACCCAACATGTTTCCAGCAGAAAAGAAGTTTATTTCCCCACAAACTCAAAGCATCAGTGATGGGAACTCTGGGGAAAAAGAAAAGAGAATGATATTTTCACTTAATTTTCATAGTTATTTCCCCCCAGTAAACCAGTAAAAATGCTAGTCTTTTGTTCAGTCATAGGATGTGAGTACCAAAGGCTAGGCCATCATTTACTGCCCATCCCCAATTACTCAAAGGGCTGTTAAGAATCAACCACACAGCTGTATGTAGATAAGGTAGAGTCTGCAGGAGAGGGAGGAGGTGAAAACAGAAATAACCAGAAAACAAATCTGCATAAGGCACATACAATTGCACTTACCCAAAACCATAGACAAGACCAGCATTGGGTCAAATTTCAGACTATTATTGAATTCAAATTCCACCATATGCCATGGTAGGGATTCGAACCTGGGCCCTCAACCCATTGCCTGGGTCTCTGGTTAATAGTCTAGCAATAACACCACTGAGGTCATCATCTTAAATTGCATGGCACTGTGAAACACAGATATAAGTTGTTTAGTTGACCGATACTTACTTGTTGGGTCTTAAGCAAATTGTGAAAAAAAAACCCTCAAAAAAGAAAGCCTGCAAATGTAAACCTTTGCCATAGAAAGATGTTGAGGTTAAAACTTTGAATGTCTTCAAGGAGTTAGATATAGTTCTTAGAGCTAAAGGGATCAAAGGTGTTATGGGCCAGGCGAGGCCCCTCAAAATAATTTAAGAAGGTAGCCTAGACCCTAACTTTTTCTTATTTTAAATACAAATGTAAGTGTCTGTTCCCAATGCAATGTGACTGGTTAAACTGCTCAATGTTAAGCAAAACACAATTTATTTAAACAGTATAGTTAAAATACAAACAAAAAGAGGAATTCAGAATAACCTAACTCTATTGGAAAACTTAACAGAATAATAAATACACTAACTGTTCTAATTAACTGTTCTAATATAGTAATATCCCATAAACACACCCTTTGGCAAAAAGGCAAATTCAGTAAAACAGATTTTGTCTCATATGTAATCTAACAGTTTAGGAAGAGGACCCCCAGGTTTTGGATGCAGTTGAGAGAAGGAAAAATAGCTTCCACTTCTTCAAGCCCACAACAGTAACTGCTTAAAGCTAACCCTAAAAAAAAAATCCTAGAAATTCTAGTCTGCGAGAGCTGGTTACACCCCTCCAGGCTGCTTCTATTGTTCTAACTTTTTAAAAAAATCCAAGGCTTCACAAGCTGTTTAGTTTAGTAGTTTTGGTAGACTGCTATGTACCTCTGCCTTACAACCTCTCTTAAAACAAAATAGGACAAAATAACCTCTTAAAGTCACAGGGGAAAAAAGCAGGAACAGAGTCGATGATCATATGAGAATGGCAGAACAGGCTTGAACGGTATGAATGGCCTACTTCTGCTCCCATTTTTTTATCCAATGTTTCTACGCTTCTATAACCAATGTGCAAGCAAAAACCTTTATTAGAAAGAGCATTTTCTTTAGAGTTCTAGAATGCAAATGTTTCATCTTCCCTTCATACGAATAGGAAAATACAATGGAAAGGAAAATACAAATGATTTCCTTAATTTCTTCAGCCCTCCTGTTATATGTGCACTTTTAAAACTAAAAGTTGTAATCCTGACTTTTCTATTTCATTCGGTCTTCTCTGAATTGAAGACCTTTGAGCCTATTCCATTATCTAGTAATACCCTCAACTCCATTTTGCAACTGACCCTGGATAACCCTCAACTTCCTTAGGAACAGAAAATCTATCCAACTCAACCTTGCACATATTCAATGGCCCAGCCTCCATTGCTGTCTGGAGAAGAGGCTTCCACAGACTAATGACCACCTGAGAAACGTTTTGTTTTCAACTTAGTCTTAAGAGAGAGACCACTAATTACTGAAGCGTATCCTTTTTTTTTAAGACTTCCCCAGACTCCAGCATTGGCTTCAGCCATTGGCCTGATATGGACACCTGCACATCATTCAAGTTGCAGAAGGAAAAGAAAACACGTATTTCAACAAAGGGACATTTCAGCCGCTACCTGGAGACTCTTTCTTTGTTGCTGCAGATCTTGTACATGAGCAAAGGAGTCCCTGCTGTGTTGCAGCATGCTAAGTATTCACACATCATTGCAAAGGCTGGAGTTCTTGGTTGAACACGTGCTATCCAGGAAAATTTAATAGCATTATTTAAAATGTAACATAGTCTCTTGGGATAGATTTCAAATAAACCAGCCGTCATCATAACGCCCTCAGGGACCCAACCACTCCCGGTGAACCATGCATGAACAAATACTCACATACAAATACTCAGATACACAACATAAAACACCCACTCGATACACCAAAGCCTACTGTACATAATGGCATGGCTTTGAACAAGTAACATGAGAAAAAGCTGAGTCAATCTCAGATTAGATGGGAATGGCATATTGTGCTGGTTACAGAATTATCAATGCAAAAATTAGTAAAATTCTCTGTGGGTCCATCTATAGTACATGGATTGCAGTGATTCCAGAAGGCAATAAAGGTAGCCCAGCCACATCCCTTCAATGAATTAAAAATAAAAATTCCCAACACTGCACTTACCCTCTACCTTTTATCCATGCTTCTATTCCTTTGTCAATGTGGTGCATGGTATATGGATCTGGTGAAAGTGACTATATTTACCTTCAATCAGAACAACTAACCAATTTCTTGCCAAGACTTGAAAATCGTACTTCAGGACAGGGAAATTAATGGCATGACCACAAGGCCTATTCTGATGAGCTGGAGCTGTTGCACTCAAACCATTGGCCTTTCAGTTCAATCGTTGTACATTTTCATCAGCTCTCAGTGTTTCAAAGGGGGAGTATTACTCGTGATGAAAGAGAAGATAAAGTCCTGGAAGCCCACCCCATTAAAAAGCATCCTGGCTGCTTTACATTGCGCGAACTGCAGTAACTCAAGGAGGCAACTCACCAATATCTTTCCAAGGGACATTTAGGAGGTAAGCAATAACTACTGACCCCATCAACAATGCCCACATCCCATGCACAAATAAAGAACATGGACAATGGGAGAAGGGAAAGAAGGAACTGAGGTTGGGAAGAAAAGAAAGTAGAGGAAAAAATGAGAATCACCCATTTTAAACAAAATAGGCATGTCATGAACTGGTAACATTATATAATGTTTAAATTGTCATTTCAGACTCTTATACCCTATCATTTTAAAATGTGGAGAAGCGGTTTTATGTGACTCAACATGAAGCATTTGGGATAAATTACACGGGAGAGAGCTCTCAGGTTAGGCACATCCAGTGGAGTTATCAACAACTTCTATTGACACATTAAAACAAATATTTTAAACTTCCTGATTAAATGTCTGCTTGTTCAGAGATGAAAACCCTGACTTGTTGTGGTAAAATATTCTTTTTTGCTTAATACAGCAGAGGAAGGTGTCTTTAAGAAACAATTAGGCATGTACAAGGGCATTGTCTGTAGAGATGGCTAAATTACTATCTGTGAAGTGTGCGATGGGAAGGCATAGGATGGGGCAGGGTGGGGGTGTTGGTGGGTGTGGTTGAATGATGTAGTTGCATTTTAAAAAAGAGAGACTAGCAGAATGTTTTTTTCTCTCAGAGGGCCAAGAGTCTTTGGAACTCTCTTCCTGAAATGGTGGTGAAAGTAGAGCCCTTGAATACTTTTAAGACAGAGACGGATTGATTCATGTTAAGCCAAGAGGCTGAAAGGTTACAAGGGCAAAGTGAGAATGCAGATTTCAGGTTACAATCAGGTCAGCCATGTTATGATCTTCTTAAGTGACAGGGCAGGTTCGAGGGCTACGTTCCTGCCACTGTGCGGACCCCCGAGGACCGTGTGCGGCAGTAGCTTCCAGAATTGGAAGGCAATGCTTTCACATGATTCAGCTTGATGGGTTGAATGGCCTACTCATTGTTAACCCGTATGTTTGTATGTTTCCAAATCACTGAAAGTAGGTCTGAATGCATTACTAAACCTAAACCTTTTTCATTACTGTGACCCATTACTGTGCATGGTATGTGGGCACTTTTGACAAAGCCAGCATTTATTGCTTATTTTAATGTCCCTTGAGAAGGCACCCATAGAATCACAGAATCCCTCCAGCGTGGATGTTGGTCATCCAGCCCATTGAATCCACACTGACCCTCCGAAGAGCATCTCACCCAGACCCACTCGTTACCCGAGCACAGCCTGCCCTCTCTGCTAGCAGCTGGAAACAATGTGAGCAACATTCCTTCGAAAGGCTTGATGGCTCTCTGAAGCGGATGCAGCAAAACATCAATGTAATGTTCTAAACACACACAAGAAAACTGTAAAGTTTACAGGCATGCATTGACAGGGCTCCACAGCTGGAGCATTTTTATCTTTAAATATGAAACCATTCAATAAGAAGAATGCTGCAATGGATCACATCCATGGTACGTTTCCAGACAAATGCACAGCAACTTTTAGTTATCATCAACAGTGTTATTTTGAGGTCAGATCTAATGTATTGCACAATTCCACTGGCCTCATACACAGAGTACAGATTGAAGTCAATCTGCAAGGAAAGGAATGAAGGAGCTTTCCAAGAATATGAGTCTCTTCTGTTAAGGAACATCAGACGAGATACTGTGAAGATAAAAACTGGGAGAGAAAGGAAAGAAGCAATCCCAGAGATGGATTAACAACTCTTTGGACCTTGGGTGAAGAGGACATGGTCATATTGTAAGCGCAAGTCCCAAATGTTTCCATCATAACGTGCACTTGCCACCAAGGGCCACCGTTTCATAAAATCAATGCTTCCTGAGTATGAACAGTCTGAACTAATCTCGCTCATGGACTCTCTGGCGCAAACCAATGTAAGGTCTATCTTGAGGATCACTCCAGTCACTCACTGCAGGAAAGGGTGATCTGGGGAAGGAAGCAAGCTCAATGCTGTCCCTGGTGTCAGCTTTGGCATCAGTTGGTAGCATCCTTGCTTCCAAGTCAGAACGATGTGGGTTCAAGACCCACTGTAGGACTTTACACACAGAAAATCCAGACCTGTGTGCTT